ACTTTCACATTCACAAAAATAAATTTATTCTAGACAAAATAATACCGAAAGTAATAAAAATTTTATATAAATAAGAAAAAGTATCCTTGGTTAAATTGACATATCTCGGTTGATTTTAATTGTACAAACTTCTACCAGGAACCATTTTAAAGATCTTGAAACCAGCTTTCATTTGAATATGGCATTACATATACCTAAATTAACTCAGAAAAATGTTTTAAGACGAAAATCGTCAAAAAAGGGCAAAAATTGACCAAAAATCCAAAAAGTAGCCAACTTTGGTCCAATGTATCTCGATTTCTATTAGTCGTAGGTACTTCTATATAAGCTTATTTTAAAGGAAAACACATTAACTTTTTTTTCTGTGAAGCAATGCCTATACCTAACTCCTCTCAGAAAAAAGTTGTGGGCTAAAAACCAAGAAGAAAAAAAGAACGCATTTTTTCGGGTTTTTTTACTTATTTTTGTTAAAAATATTTTTTTTGACTTCAGAAGGTCCCATTTCGATTGGAAATTCAATTTGCTACAATTTTTCTGTTGACACCTACAGTGAAAAAATGCATAGTTTTCGAGTAAAACACAAAAAACTGAAAATACCACCTTTTTACTTCGATCTCAAAAACGCACCCCATTCAAAGGTAGCACTCCGCGGTTTTATCATTTTTTAGTGTCAATTGAACATATCAAACAATAAAATTTCTGTTACGTTGTTCTTCCTATCTAAAGTACATAGTCAATAGTCGTTTCGGAGCAGTCCAACGCGCTTGGGAAAGGGCTCCGAATTTCAAAAATAATTTTCTTTTTTCTAGGAGGTTCAAAGCATCTTGTAGATCAATAAAATAAATTGATTTTCTGAAAATTATACATTGGTCTTACCCCTTAAGAGAAGTTAAAATACAAGCTGCGATTTATTTTTTTTATAGGTACTTACATAACATATGAAGTTCCGTATATTATTTATCTCTAACAGAGTCATGTGTTTATTATGTACGTATGGAACGGCGAATCCCAAGGTCGTCGGAGAAGCTCTCCGTCCAGCACTTCTAACATATATACGGCCTTAAGAAAACTCGAATACGCTTCATTAGCGATCTTATTTAGAATTCTGTTCTCCGAGTAGAAATCCCAACAATGCGCCTCATTTAATCCCCTTATAAATGAAGCCGGCCCTAAGGGGTCCTCGTTCAAGATACGTCCGCTGAAACGAAGAGACAATGCTTAAAGTAACTGGGGACAATCCATATAATTTTTTAAGGGTTCAGTTCAGTCCAGTTGGATTGCGTTTTAAATATCTAGAAATAATGTATAACCTCACATAATCATGTAATAAAAATTCGTGACGTCATTTAGTGCGATCGAGAATGACAGAGACAAGGCGGTCCGACAACATGAGCATGGTAAATGACAGTAGATAGGAACAGCCAGCTTAACTAGACTGTCAGACTGGCGAGAAGCTGTGTTCGTGGTCGCACTAAATGACGTCACAATGCATTCCTGATCACGTGACAGAATGTAAATTTTTATTTAATTTATAATAATTTGACGCATAAAAAATATATTTTTTTACCCCTGTTGTTGTCAGATTACAAATTTAAGCGGATGTAAAAGAAATTTTAATGCAATTTGCCTACTCGTAGAGAGCTTGAGTAGTTCACGGAATCCAGATGATAAATTCGTGAAAATTCGTGTGAATTCCTATATTTAAAGTGACACACCGAAAAAATTCGACGAAATTTAGTACAAAACGTCGTAAATTGATAATACAAAAAATCTTTTAATACTTTACACATAAAGTAAATATATTATAGTAAGCATTTTAAGTTCATGACTTAATTTAAGAGAAATGTTGAATCGTTTTAGGCCAACAGATCGTAAAAATCATAGGTTACAGTCACTGATTTCTGAGATACAGGGTGTTGAAATTTAAAACAAATATCACATTTTTTCAAGTATCTCCAAAAATGCTTGATGTCCATTAATGAATCTTTTGCTAGTAATTTCTCGAATTAGTATACAAATACGTCAACCATTCCGGAGATGAAAAGAAATCTAGAATTTCTACACCACAAAGTTCTTGGAAATTCGATTAGCTAATTTGATTTGTAATTTTATTTAATAGAAATAAATTTTCTTCGAAATTTGAAGCAATTTCGAGTTATTACTCTTCAAATTTAAAATAAGCTTACCATACACTTACATATATCAATATTTTGTTTCAAATGCAGTCAACCTTAGATAAAACGCAATCGCGAAAAGCTAAAGAAATATTTACCATAGATTTTTTCATCGCATGTTCAACAAAAAATCCTACACATACTTTTTGTGCATCGCATAATTTTAGAGGTATTTTAAATTTGTTCAACTGGAAGATATCCCTTTTCTTTGAAATACAATTCAAAATAAATAAATTTCCAAAATACTCAGTGGCGTAGGAATTCTGTAATTTTCATTGACAGTGCCCTTGTTATCTGCGTCACCCGTTGACATGTTTTCTACCAGTTCAAAGAATGTTGATCTTTAGTTGGGTGAACCAATACCCGATGCTCCATTAATCTACTCAAAATATCTTCGGCGAAAATATACATTTTTTTCTTTAATTTCAACACTACGTACCTCGGACACCAGTGGCTTCATACTTACACTACATTAAGTCTTTCTGACCTAAAATGATCCAAAGAATACATTCCTAAAGTCTTAGCATTGATTTAAAATACACCCTGTGTAAATCAAAGCTAATTAATTTTATTGTTAAGCAATACATACAATTTTTATAATTTCAAACTTAATAACTAAATATTATTCAGCAATTATTATAACCAATAGAGGAAATAATTTATTAATTTTTCATCGTGAAGCATTTGCAGTGCCTCCTAGGCACTAGTTTTAAAAATGTAGAAACAATTTCATAAATTTATTTTATATGATAAAAATTTCCAAGAAAGAACTCATGAAATATAAAAGTACCCAAAATAATATAAATAACTTATTTGAATATAATAAAAACGGTTATTTTTCTTTATTTCAATAGTTTGAAAAGTAATAGCAAAACTATTTAAAAATATAGAACTCCTAGACTACAGTAAGTTGTGCGACTAAATATTTATTAATTTGGCCTTAGAATAAGCGATTTTGTGCCACCAGAAGAAAAAAGGCAGTATTTGGAGACTTTTTTAATAATTTCTACAATAACAAGCCGAAGGTATATCACGCTGTATTATATTGGAGGAAGTGATGATACTTAGTTTTACCCTGAATATTTCAAGTAGTAATATTGCTTGAAAGTCGTTAGTTGAAGATTACAAGGATTATGCCCAATTATTTGTGGTGGAGAATTAGAAGCCAGACTGAAGAGAGTCAATCTCAAAGACGGATATCTCATGATTTTTATAAAGTTGCACTGGATACGACTATTGTCCGATGCTGACTTACTATTAACCATACAGGACCGTCTCTGATAATATTAAACAGTGAACTTGATTTATATGAAAGATTAAAATGCATTTGTAATGGCATACAGAAAGTCTTAATATTGCGAAAGCAAGTTTAAGGAGTATGAAAAATTTTCAGTTTGCAGGATACTCCGAACTTCTCCCTTTGAATTAAAAATTGCACTTTCGCCCGTTGGTATACATAATTATACTTTTTTTAATAGAAAATTGCACAAAATTGTACATTGACAAATATCTTAAATTTACATAGACAAACATAAAGTAACTGAATACGTTGGACAAGTTAAATAAAATACTGTTCATACATTTCTGAGGAATATAACACTGAGAACGAAGTCGCTCCTATGCTTCCAACCGGCCGAGTCCGATCCTGCCGACCCTATCGCCGGACAGTAGGGTCGTAATTGACTTATTTATGGCACTGCAGATCTCCTGCTGTCTAGCAGGAGTCCCTGCTTCTGCAGAGGCACACCAGAGAAATAATTCTCGAGAACGACTGTCACCGGTCAAACGCGATGACGGGAGGATAATATGGGTACAACAAACGGATATCGGAAACGTTTTCTTTTGAAAACTGCACATATTTTTAAAAATTCAGTGTTGCAAAGAATTTTTTATAGAAAATATCGATGTGTCAAAATAGAAACTATAGGCAATATTTTTTTTAGAGTGATCATGATCAGTCAGATGGTTTGAATACACTTCTGATTCCCGTAATAAAGGCCTATTAACAAGTGATAATTAATTGAAATCAATTGGATTCAGATCAGGACATTTGGGAGGTCATACAATATTGCTGCATTTTTTTTACTTGTTGATTTATGGTTTGAAGTATTCTGAATTATTTGATATTGTAACGTTAGAATTCTAGATGATTTCCAAAATACCAACACTCTTTAAGTAATATTAGGGAAACAATATGTATATATAACCCTAATTACAGTATAACCATAATCTCGATCTGAATTCAATGAATTTTTAAGTAATAATAACAAGAATCAAATGTATCTAAGTGATGTGAAGTGATATTTTTTTGGAAAACAATTAAACCTCAATATTTCAAGGCATTGGCTTGGTGTTACTTTTAAAATTTTCAAAACACTGTATATAAAATCAAAAGAGTAGTAACATTGTTAAGAGTTTGAGAACAAAAAGGAATTTTTATAAAAAATGACTTTTTCTAATAAATTACAAATAAAAATGTCTTTCCTGTTGTGAACACAATTGTAACACCCACTGTATGTTTTTTCTTCTAATTTTATTCTTGTTTCAGGGCTAGTCCAAATTCAAATTCCTTGTTCTCGATTTACTAACATCGATGTTCCAAGAAAATATTTATTTAGTTCTGCATCCTATTCGTAATATAGCACTACTTTTTTAAATTCCTGCAAGATTATAGAATGTAGACAAAAACTAATAGCGTCAATATTTTCAACTAAACCTAGTCGATATACGTATATTTGGATGATGTTACGTAGATTTTAAAAGCTTTCGTATTTTGAAAATTGTTTCTTGTCCTGAGTAGTTACAATCTTACATTTTTTGTTACAGATTCCGATTTTGGCACTTTGGCGAATGGAGAGAAGTTGTTATAGACGACAAACTTCCTACGTACAAAGGGAGGCTGGTTCATCTTTATTGTTCGAATACAACGGACTTTTGGGCGGCTCTGCTAGAAAAAGCTTATGCAAAGTAAGTGGTGCATTTCAAATTATTCGATAAAATACATTTTTGAATGACAACTGTACCTACCTACATAGAAATATTTATTTGTAAGTACTAAAATTCATACCAGTACCAGTAAATAAATTCATAAATTTTTTTTTTTCATGTTTTAATATACTTAAAATCGCATGTTTTATTCTTTCTATATTTTTTTAAATATATTTATTATTATCGGCTTTTGTACTTTTACTTTATTTTAAAGCTGTTAAATTTTTCTAAAAACTTTGTTTTTTTTTATAATTTGAATAATACAGTTCTGCTAATATCTATTAATTCCATTTACTAGGAAGCCATTTGAAAAGGCACTCCTTAAAATGCAGAAATAGGATCTACCTATCCTGGCTATGTTTACGTGTTAGTCTTTGTAGTGATGTTAGAACAAAAATAGTAAAATATATTTATTTGAAAGACTATTTTTTGAAGTTATGGTATTAATCTGTAGATTCTATGGATGCTACGAGCAGTTATCCCAAGGATCAACAACAAGAGCTCTGCAGGACCTAACTGGGGGAATAGTACAAAGCTTCGGACTAACGCACCAAGACAGGTTTCTCACCTTTCAAGTGTTAAACAGTGCGGTTCCTAGGTCTAGTCTACTGATAGCTACTATAACTCAGGTAAGTGGTACAAACTTGCATTTTACTCTATGAAAAAAAAAATTGTTCTATGAAAAAAAAATGATTTCAATCTAAGCGATGAAATAAAATATTTGCAATCGTTTAAAAATGTAAACTGTTTTCTTAGTGTATTATAAAGTATTCCCTTTGTAGCGACGTGTACGTCACTGATTTTTTGACACAGTTTTTGACATTACTAATAAATAGAAATGTACTTTCAACGTTCACATACAAAGCTGAATGTGAAAATATACTCTAATACAGAAACAATTATTGAGGTACAAAATAATTTTAAAACACTCTGTATATCGGTAAGGGTGCATATTTAGCTAATTAGTCTAATTAGTGTTATAAGTAACATAAAACATAGTCGTCTCAGTGTCTATTTCAGTCGTCGTAAAATATACAGGGTGTTAGGAGTTTGACTGCCTTAATCTTAAGAGACGATAGAATACATTAACACAAACAAAAAACCTTATATGATCGGCCCTAAACTCAACCATTTACGAGAAAAAAATCAAAATCTTCAACTTGATGTACAAAAGTTGGATTAATTAAGGAATATTGACATAGCTGCGTGCATAGAATACCATAAAATACAATGTTTATCACTTTTTTTAACTTGCCATGCTTAATTCTAAAACATTATTAGCGTTGTAATAAATTTAAAATTCGATAAAATTCATATCGAGCAATGTGACAACGGCGCGGCAGTTTATTAACACGAGGTACTAAGGTGTCCAGCAACCACCAATACGCAATTCAGTTGGTATCTGGATTCGACCATGTGGGAGTGTTTCTTTGCGTACCACTATTTCCTTTTCTTGAGGTGTTTCCCAGCGATTGCGCGAAAATTGGATTCGAAGGTGTCGTGCGTGCATCGAAAACGGTGGTGGACATTTTGAGCATATGTTGTAGTTTGTTTTATACTTGTGCGTTTAAAAATTACTGAACTTTGCTTTTTGGGAAGTACCTAACTTATTTTTAATACGTATGATTATTTGGACGACGTAAAATTTTGGGTACCTTAATTACATGTTTTTCAAATACGTAATTTGATTAAAAGTTAAGTTCCTGTTTTAAGAGATTCATAATTACTAAAATTCGAGCTAAAATTTAAGCACAACAGTAACTTCGTACTACAAAATGATACATTTTATTTTATTTATTTAAAAACTGGAAAACAATTGTCTTGTTTATTAAATGTTTCACAATAATAGCTATTTACATTTTTTCCGTAGGACAAGTCAACCGCATGTACACGTGGTGTGCATCAGCAGGTTAAGCGCTGTTGTCACGTTATGATGAAAGTCGCCAATATTAACACTCGCTGTATTTTGACAATTGTTAATCTTACGCCCCTGTAATATACAACTTTTTTGTACAAGCTGAAGTAATGGCAGTCAAACTCATACACCCTCTATATGATTATAAAGTCTAATTTAGTCTCTTGACTAAACTAAAACCTTACTTGTTAATCTCTGAATGATTAAATTTTTTTCTACAGGCTACTAAAAGGAAACTAAAATATACAACATTTATCAAATTTGCTTATGATTATAATTTGAGCGCTGTTGCTAAAGACAATGTATGCCTCACATTTAAAGTGCATTGTAATTCTTATAGAATGAAAATTCCGTTAACATATTAATTAAAATTCTGATGTTTCAATACATGCGATATCAGCATATTTTTAATTCTCTCAGGATTTTGAAAATACCCTATTTCTTAGGTACCTACATGGTTTATGAGTTTAGTTGTTTTAGCTCACAAAGTTAACAACATTGAGTATACAGAACTAAAGTACCTTTTAGTCTCCAGGAATTAAAACATGCACTTTAGCTCCAAAGTCTTAAGAACTAAAGTGCATATATTAATTCCTAGGGACTAAAAGGTACTTTAATCATCTATACTTATTTTTTTATTAACAACATTTAGTATGCAGAACTAAAGTACATTTTAGTCTCTTGGAACTAAAACTTGTACTTTAGCTCCAAAGTCTTAAGAACTAAAATCCATATATTATTAATTCCTAGGGACTAAAAGATACTTTAATTATGAACACTTATTTTTTTGTTTTTTTTTTAGGTATAACATGCCAATGTCACAAATTTTATTAACGTAGCTCACAAAGTTAAAGAAATAACATTTACCGAACTAAAGTGCCTTTTGCTCCTAAATTAAAGCGGTCCCTTTTATTCCTAAACCTATCTAATGATTTTATTAAGTAATTTATGAATTTTAGCTCAGAAAACTAAAAAATAACGTATATATTACATGTTAAGTTAAACGAGGACTAAAGTGGATTTTCTTCCCTCCATGATTAAGAGATATACTTTAGTCCTTTCGTGTACTCTTTTACTATAATTTGAGGGATAAATAATAATCGTCGTTCTAAAACTAGTACTGTTAGAAATACTCCTACAACTTGTAATTCGCACTTCACGAAGAAATTGTACCTAGAGTTACGTGCCCATTTCCATCGTAATTAACCATTGCGAAATTCGTTCTCTGAAATCACTGTATATTATCGCGCAACGCCCATTTTTTTCGCCGGCGGAATCGTGACGGCAATTAACATTTTCGTGTGTGCCACCAGGTAACGCTCGCGCTATTCGTTCGGCCTCGTTCGGAGGGCATTATCGTCATAATTCAGACGCAAAGTCTCTATCCACAGGTAAGCACCGACCGAGAATGATATTGCCGTTGTGATATCGTATAATTTCGTCTCATTATTGTAAAATATATATTAATATATATGGGTCAGCCGGGAAAGGTTACTAAACTAGGTGGAGCCGGGCTCAAAGTGATTTTAAACGCGGTGGTTTTACGTGTCAGCGGTTTTAAGAAGTTTATGCGGTCGTGAGCAGTCCTAGCGTCAAGAGTTGTACACTGAGAGAATGATTCGTTTGAATTCAATTTACTTAATTGTTCATTATTTATGTAGAATAATACTTAAATTTTTATAATTTTACATTTCAATTATTATAAGTTTGAAAGTAGTTTGTTCAAGACTATTTAATATTAAACTTTATGAATGGTAAATATTAAATAAATTGGTTTGGTTTGGTTTGGTTTGAACGAGACTTACTTACCGTAAAAAGGCCTCGGTAGTGAGCAGCACTGACCGTGCATAGATGGAGCCACCATCTACGCTTGGTGTTCACTTACCTCCATTTCTGAAGGACATCTAAAGCAGCTGTATGATCGTTCGTCGGTTATCTCACCAAAGTAAACAGATATTTTCAAAAATAAGAACAACAAAGAGGTTTTTTGGCAAAACCGATTTATTTTATTCAAAATTATAGTCTCTCTTCCGACTTCCGACTCAACAGTACAGCCAAAGAGAATAAACTAATAAGAGTTTTCACATAATGTAATTTCCTATCTAGCAAGTTCCGTTTTTTTCGACGATTTCTGTTGTGCCTGGCGCACGCGTAGATCTACACAATTCATTCATTAAATGAACATTTGACATTGCCTTTCCGATCGGACGAGAATACAGGACCGGCTTCGCCACGTCCGACACTGATACAATAATTTTATGACTTATTAGAGTATTGGAACGAAAAGGCCTGTAATGTTTAGTTACTGGCCTAAATGTAAGGATTAAATTTTGAAATTGGGCAATGTAATAGGTTGAGTGTTTGCATCATAAAGTCTTAATATTATAAACTTGATAAAACATAACTATTTACATACCTTGAACTTGTTTATTATACGGTGAATTTAAATATCTACCATAAAAAACAGCTGTCAGTCAGAATATCCATAGCTCAATAAAATTACCTATAAAAATATCAACAAATACTTTTAACTACGTATTTTAAAGAAGCTGCCCACCAAAGCATACACGTATACAATGGTGTATTTATGGTATAACATATTTGTAACTTTCATAGTAGATATTAGGTTTAAACGTTTTCATACTTTTTCGAAGTTTCCCTACACTTCAGCAGACGATGTTACAATATCCTGCCTTTCCTAAGAAGAGCTAATCAGCATATTCTACGACCTAAACAAGAAACATGGAGCAGCTTTTAAAAATTGTCAACAATGCACATGTTACGATTTGATCGGAACACATATACATATTATCATTTGTTGAACTCTATCGAACAAAATTCAGAAGTAAAAAAAACATGATCGTTAGTAGATAAAAAAACTGATCTATAATAACTTATTTATTTTAACAAGGGAAATGCTATTTATAAGTACTCTTACATTTTATATAGTTGGTTTATAGGGCTATATATTATATAAATACTATACATCCTACATCCTACTATTGAGTTAAATATAGCTAAAGTTAAACAAACAACATTTTGCGAAGCCCTACTTAACAATTAATGATTTTCCCCACACACAAAAGGTTTCACGAATTATTATAAAACTTCATTTTACAACTACAACTTACAAACCTACAATCATCCTAGATTTATTTAACATTTAGTTAAGTGTTTTTTTTATTATACATGTTGTAAATTTTTCAGTTTTTGAATTTGAATAGGCTTTCCTTGCCTTAACTGGAGATTTGTTTGCTTCAATACATGATAAATTTTTAACCGAGTAAAAAGTGACAAAAAGAAGTTGTAAGGAAATTTTTTACAAGGATGAGGATTAAATATTTCTTTTAATTCATTTTTAAGTTTGTAAATAATATGAAAGCAGAAAACAAGATACCTAACTGTTATAATGATTTACCAAACGTTCACTATGATTCATAAAACGAAAAGACGAAAACCAGACCTGGCAACGAGATGCCCAACTAGTGTCGACCTTCTCTTGTTTTCCATTTCACTCATTTGCGTGTCTCCTGTTGTCACTGACAAGGATAGCTAGATATGCGAGGATGTCTATAATTAAATCAGTCTCATAAATTTACTATAGTTTACTATTACCTGCGCCAAGTGCATCATTTTTCACTCAAATTGTATGTCCCTGGCGCATAGTGACAAAGATAGAAATTTGGTCGACGGCATGAATGAATGTGAAAACTCTTATTAGTTTATTCTCTTTGGTACAGCCACAGCGATTTGCGCGGGTTTAAAAGCATGTCGAATGAGTGTTTTAGATTGTCGGCTAGGATGTCCTTCAGGATGTTGGTACAAGCCTTGATGGCTTCTACGTCTACAAAACGCCTTCCTTTCATCGGCAAATGCGTTTTTCGGAAAAGGTAAAAATCGAACGGTGTCAAATCAGGCGAATACGGAGAGTGGATCGACAGTTAAAATACGATTTTTAGTCAAACAATTGGTCACAAGTGTCGATTGATGAGATAGCGCGTTGTCGTGCAACAAATGCCAACTTCCTAGAAGTCGAGAAATATCGATAGTCAGCGTGATTTTTGGCGCTTTTTACCGTTCCCATTATTATTACAAATTGCAACCACAGACAACCGTCTACAGTTTACAAATACAATCAACGATCGTTAAAAGTGTCACAAAACAAAAAATAATTACAACACTACACACTACAACAGGTACCAGGGACGCACCACGGCACAGCAAGCAAGTAGTGTTAAAACTGTCAAAATGAATGACAGTTTGCTAACTAATTGAATTGAAACTGACTACTTCCGCACGACTAATTTAAAACTGCTGGTAGTTGTGCGGTAAATAGTTGCCAGATGGGCACAGTGATGCGTTATTTAGTCACTATCGAGAATCTATCGATAGTTGCAGAAAGCAATCTATGGGATTGAAAAAATGCACTAAAATTGTTTTTGCTAGCCTGCCAGAACAAAACGCTGTTTTTATATTTTTGTTTATTGTAACAAATTTCGTTAAGCAGACCATTAATTTTTGCAATAAATATTAAAACCATTACGTTTGCAAGATGTCGTTTCAGAACCCACAATCGACGTGTCTCGGGATTTTTTATAAATGTGCACAATAATTGAGATTACTGAATTTATTCTATTTGGCTGTTCCACACTATAATAATTTCATGTTGCATCGCAGAGCATTAAAACAGCTTCAAAATATGTAAAAATTCGTCGCTTAGCTCGATTTTGGAATAGTAAAAAAAACTGTAAAATATATTTTTATAACAAAGTACATCGAAACGGGTTCAAGAAGAATTATTAACAAGGGACAGAACTGCTTTAAAATACAATAAAAAACCTCAAAACAGCTTCAAGGTACATAAACATTATTTTACAGATCAAATGGCAAATGTCAAATAAAAGGTCAATATCCTAAGGTCAAAAGGTTGTTACATTTGTTACAGATACCTGGGAAATGTAGCTAATTGAACATATAAACATAAAAAATCTTAAAGAAATATGGCAAAATCCATACAAACTCAATTTTGATGTACACATTTTATAATGCTTGTTTATTTTTTAAATTTGACTAAAAAAACCTTAAGTATATCTTCTACACTGTAAAATATCGTATATTTAGTGTAGATACAATTTTAATAAATTTTGCATTCTAATTTCTGGCGAATGCGCCAGGAACACTTGACCTTCGTCAAGTCTATAATTAAATATATTTCCCAGCAATTTTGAAGCAGTTAGAATAAAGTATTCTCCGTTTATTTTGCAAAAGAGTATCGTACCACGTTTTCAAGTGTAGTATTATTTCTATCTCCAATTTAATTGTCGCAATCTGGAAAATTCTGCTTTAACGCCAATAACCGTCCCAACAATTCTCCCTACGCCTCGAAATCAACTCAGTGGGACGGACTATGAGAAATTTAATTGAAAAATTCCTTCCCGACTTCGAAGAAGTGAGCGGGGAGTAGAGGATTCTCGTCATTATCGAACATTTGCCCTCTCTGGATATATTTGAATTTTAGGTCGTGATTTTAAATGATAATTTTAGTAAAAAGTAAGTTTGACAATTAATAAGACCTTAAAAGTGATTATTATGCATTAGAAACTGTGATGGTTTTTAATAATATTTTCTACGATAAAATCACGCTTTTATTAAAACAAAACATATTTATTTTGTAAAAGACTTGGTAATATTTTAAAGTAACGCAACAAAATAAAATGGATGAATACATATAATATAGTTAATGTAGAAAATACTTGAGATTCCTATTATCATTTAGACGAAGGCGTCTCATAGTCACCGCCCGTTTCGCCCTTCCACAAATAAGATCCACTTCTTATTTGTGGAATGGTGAAATGGGCGGTGACTATTAGACGCCTTCATTAAAGCCATCTTTCTCTATCGCACGGATTTCTATGACTTACTTTATCGCTCTCACGTAACGGCAGATGGACCATCGGTACTTTCCGACCGTGTTTATAATGAAGACTTTGGATAGTTAAAAAAATGTCTCATGCTTTGGTAGACGTCTGTCTGTATATGACCGGAAAAATGAAGTGCATACAACACCGAATAATTTATTATTCAATATTCTTAAGGAATGAAAGGTGCCATTGTTACACTTTCGCATCATCACAAATAGGAGTATCAAGGATACAAACTTGATGCGTCAATATAATTTTTCTCGACCTATTCACTAATATTAATATTTTACAGGTGATTTCTTACATATGGTAAACTAACCTACATTACCAGATTCTAATAATTCAGTGTATATGAGCATAATAAATAATTTTCGTAGTTATTCCTTGCAAAAAAATTACACACAATCCCATGATTATTTTTGTGCTGGAATTTCATTCACTTCTATGAACACCATCATTTTCAGGAAAAGGATAACAAGCGACAGCTACGCCTGCGCAATGGTCTCATCACCCAACACGCATATAGCGTCACGGGCTTAGCCAGGGTGAGGGGGGTTAACGGTGAAGTGCCCCTGGTAAGGTTGAGGAATCCCTGGGCTAGGGGCGAGTGGACGGGCCCCTGGAGTGACAGGTCCTGGGAATGGGATGGACTGTCTGCTCGAGATAAGGAGCTGTTGAGTGTCAGAGTCACTAATGACGGAGAATTCTGGTAAGTGAACGATTTAAATGTTTAAGGTTGTGTTCTGTGTTTTAAATAACTAAGGCGAGTATTCTTTTAAATATCTATTTGCACTTTTACACATTTGGTATTAGATTTATTAATAAAAATGATAATAAATACACTAATGCAAAAAATTAAAGGGTCAAAGGAATTTTCGAAATTTTTCCGTGACTTTTGACACACTGTATTTAGGTGAAAAATGGTCGTATAGGTAATTTAAAAAAAACATTTTGAAGCTCTAAGATTCTAGTTTTTAGATATTTCGGTCGAATTTTTTTAGGAGCTACGGTTATCATGCAATTCTAAGAAATAGCGCTACAAAAAAATTTTGCTAATTTTTTTTTTTATTTTCCGAGTCCACGAACTTGGAAAATTTTTTTTCAGCTAAGCCATTACATGGACCAGATAGCTTGTTTATTCAGCTTCAATTTCCTTTTTTTTTTCATTTCGATACGACCATTTTTCAACGAAATATCGGACTTAATGGAAAAGGATCCTTTTGTCTTTAATCATCGATATTTCGGCGACAAATGGTCGTACAGAGAATTTAAGGGCAGTTTCGAAAACTGGAATAAATTTCCTATAACATGCTGCCGCAACTTTCCGGAAAAATTTTTTGTTTCATCCTTTACACGAATTTAACAAAACAGGAAAAAAGGGTAATTTATGATTTTTTAGAAAATTGACGACTAAATTAGAAATATTCAGGAAATGACTAATGTTAAACATGACTTTTACAGTTCGATATAACCAGAAGAACCCTGTGAAGTTTCATCTCGATCTAGAGAACCGTTTCTTTGTTTCAAAGAGTCAAACTTTTGATAAAAATTAAAAGTTCACGTTTCTTGAGCTTAAACACTTCATAATCATAATTAAAATGGGAAACATTTTTTTTGTGAGGTTTTCTCACACTTTTACCGCAAATAACGTATAAATTGATGAAAAAAAAAAAAAAATTGAAACATTTTTTTTCCATTTGTCGCCGATATATCGATGATTGAAGACAAAAGGATCCTTTTCCATTAAAAGTCCGATATTTCCATGAAAAATGGTCGTATCGAAATTAAAAAAAAAAAACGGAAATTGAAGCTGAATAAACAAACTAACTGGTCCATAGAATGACTTAGCTGAAAAAAAAATGCAAGTCCGTGAAAAAATTTGCAAAATGTAGCTCCTAAAAAATTCCCCATACGACCATTTTTCACCTATATACAGTCTGTCAAAAATCATGGAAAAATTTCGGAAATTCTTTAGACCTTTAATTTGTTGCATTAGTTTATAATTTATTTCAAATACCTCCTTGCATTTCTGTGCTCCTAATGTTATCAAATCTCTTTATAATAATTAACAATTATAAATAAGATTTTTTTAAATACCTCCTTGAATATCTACTTTTCTAACATTACAAATTCCCTTACTAATATCAATCGTAATTAATAGAATTCCATTTAAATACCTCTTTACATATCTGCACTCCTAATATTACCAGTTTTCTGCACAAATATTAATCGTAGGTATGTAGTATGCTATTTAATGCCATCAGATTAGAAATTTTAAAGTTTCGAAAGGCATATATTGTTTTCTTCTTCAGGGGGAACTCTGTTGCATGGTTCTTTTAAAGAAGAGAGCGATATGTCTCTCAAAAGGTCGAAAAGTCTAAACTCAAACCGACGACATGGCAACCACCTCAGAAATTTATTCAATCATTGACAAATGCCATGAAACCGCGTAAATCGCAAGTAAAATATTTTTCTAATTGTTTCTTACATGTCTATGATCCTAATATAAAAACTCTGTAAATAGGTAATAATCAAAAATACAACTTCTTTCAAATACCTCTCACATTTCTTTAATATTACAAATTTGCTTTAAAAATCACAGTCACAAATAATATTTTTCAAACACCTCAGTACATACCTGTCCCCTTAAACATATTGTCAGTTATTACCTTTATTCATGACAATAATTTCAAATGAAATTTCTTCTCTGTGTCCCCTTGCCTTTCTGCACTCCTCAATTACACAAATATAATTTCTTTCAAATGGAGATTTCTTTAACTGTGCAATTAATAATCGTAAGGTTTGGCGATTAAAATCGTTCAAATAACAAATTACAGACTTATGGGCTTAAGGTGCAATCAAATCATAAATTCCAATGTTTTTGCAATCACTGATTACTTATAGACTAGGTGTTGATTATGGGATTTTAAAAAGAACTATGACGTTCAAGATCTTTTATTACATGAATCGTTCAAATGGTCATTTTAGATGAATAAAACCGCGGAGTGCTATTAAATTAGAGGGTGGAAATTGGAGATAGGAGTGAAAATGCACCCCTTTCAGTTTTTTAATTGTAGCTCAAAAACGAAGCAAAATTTCGCTATAGTTCATAGAAAAATTATTTAAAGAACTGAATTTCCCATCGAAATGGCTTATTTAAAAAATTTTAAAGGAAAATTTTATGCAAGAAATCGTTAATAAACAATTTAAAAAAAAGCAAAAAATAAGATTTTTTGATTTTTTTTACTATTTTGACTCGTAAGTTGTGAAAATCTTTATTTATTATTAACAAATAAAACTTTTGAAATAATTTTTTATTAAGTAAAGAACCAATTTGTTGCAAAAATAATGAGAATTATAATCATTATTATGTTACAAACGAGGAAAATCGAAAAATTATTTAAGTTTGACCGGTTATAACTCAGTCAATGTTAGTCCAAAAACTTTTGAAAACGCATCATTTTGAAGGGAATCTCATCTTGTTTTTTTTTATACAGCAATTAACTGTGCCTAAGTAAAAAAAAACAAAAAATCTTATTTTTTGCTGTTTTTAAGATTGTTTATTAATGATTTTTTGCATAAAATCTTTCTTTTATATTTTTTAAATGAACTATTTCGATGGGAAATTCAATTCTCTTCCAAATTTTTTTCTATGAACTATACCGAAATTTTGCTTCGTTTTCGTGCTATATTTAAAAAACTGTAAAAATGTATTTTCACCCCTATCTTCAATTTCAACCCTCTCATTTAATAGCACCCCGCGATTTTTTCATTTTTATTGACAATTCGAACAAGTCATGTGATAAAAATCCTTGAATGTCTTATTTTCTTTCTTATTTGCAAAAAATTAAAACGTTTAAGGATAAACGCGACGAAAATCGAATAATTGGCTAATTGTAAGTTTGAGCGGTCATATATCAGTCAATTTTCATCCAAAAATACTTATTTTAAAGGAAATTTTATCTACTTTTTTTATACCTATCTTTACTAAAAAAAAAACTAGAGGCAAAATAGGAAAAAACTGTTTATTAACAATTTTTTGCATAAAATTTCCCATTTTAAATTTTTTAAATAAGCCAATTCGACGGGAGATTCAATTCTTCCTATGAACTATAACGAAATTTTGCTTCGTTTTCAGGCTACGATTAAAAAACTGAAAGGGGTGCATTTTCACCCCTATCTCCAATTTCCACCCTCTAATTTAATAGCACTCCGCGGTTTTTTCATCTAAAATGACCCTTTGAACAATTCATGCAATAAAATTGCTTGAACGTCATAGTTCCTTTTAACCCTATTTTTTGGATACAATTTGAATATTAAGTTAATTTGAAATTTCAAAAACCGCTTCTAGAGAAGTTTATTGATGTTAGGGTCAAAATAGAAACTGATACAGGAATACTGACTTTAGATTCACTCAGAGGGTAAAAATACTACTACATTTTTGTTGTGAAATTTATTACTGGAAGCAAACTCACTTGAAAAACTACTATAAAAAGTATTTTCAAAAAAGAATTTTGACACATTATCACTTAGAAAAAGAAATAGCAAAATATTTTCATTAATTTTTTTTTCTTATTTTTTATTTATTTATTTTTTTTTCATTATTTAGTGGTTTTTTTCCTTTGTTATTTCAGGATGTCGTTTGAGGATTTTTCTCGTCATTTCACCCAGTTGGATCTAGTCCACATAGGGCCTGACGACTGGATGATGGAGGTAGCTTTACACTCGAAACAACCATGGAGGGCAGTGCTGGCGAGGAGAAGATGGAGGGCGGGGTACAATGCTGGAGGAGGACCGTCTTATATTGGTAAAAATTTATAATTCCATAACTAATAGCTAATTTGTAATATACCGTAAAGTAATTCAAACTTTCAAATGATTTTGTTCGTGTTGCAGAGACAACGGCCATGAACCCACAATTCCACGTTCAAATACCGAGGACGTCGAGCAATAAGTGTCACGTAGTCGTATCCATCACACAGTTCTACGAGACGAACGTGTTAGATGCCAAAAAGAAGAGGCCTCTATATGCCATAGGATTCGCCGTGTACGAAGTGCCCCCTTCCATGCAAAGACTGACCCCGCATTTCGTTACCGAACAGGTAGGAATTCGGAAATTGAAATTAGTTCTTGTTATAACATTTTTTTGGAGGAAATTATCTAGTTTTATAACCAGATTTTAAATATTCACTTATTATCGGGTAAATATAACTTTCCTTTCAGAAACCACTGGACGTAACAAATCATTCCATAGCGAGGGAGGTGGTGACGTTTTTCACACTGCCCCCTGGCGAATACATTGTAGTACCTCAAACCAACATACCAAATCTGGACGGAAAATTTCTTCTGAGGATATTTACCGACGAGCAAAGTAATATTTGGTAAGATACGCAGCATCCAATTTGTTTGCAGGCACTGAAGACAGTGTTTTTTTGTTGCAGGGAAGTTAACGAGGACAATATGATTATAAGAAATATCGCAGCAGAATTTATGGATGAATCCACCTCACCAATATCTGTAAGTTATTGCTATTTAATGAAATATTGATAATACAAAGGTTCAAAGTTAAAATTTAGGCTCATAAGCAATTATTTACAGAGAAATATTTTGTTTAATTACGTGTCATCATTTCTGTTTTCCTAATGCAAAATGTTTTTATTTTATATCTCTTGATGGAGCTGCACACCTAATACAAATATGCTCTACAGATTCTGTGCTCCTAATAGGAACACAGCCACACAAAAAAAGTTTACTTTTCATGCGACATATCTTATCCGAAGTATTTTTGCCTCCTGATCACGAATCCGGTGTCAGAATTGAGCTATCACATTACAGGAATATCCTAACCTCAAAAAACAGATCAGAAATATTAGAAATTCAAGAAAAAGTGCTAGGAAACATACAAAAAAAATTTTTTTCTATGAATGAATGAATTCGCGGTCAGAATTGATGGTTCTTCTTCTAACCTCAAAAAAACGGGTCAATTAACGTCAAATATCACGAATATAAAAAAAATTAATAACAGATTCGCGCCAAATTTGGTATGCGGGGGTTTTCTGGGTAGCTGATCACGGATCCAAGGTCAATTTTGCAAAATTCAGTATGGCGGATCCAAGATGGCCGACCAAATTTAAAAAAATAACAGATTCGCACCAAATTTGGTATAAGAGGGTTTTTGGGGTCGCTGATCACGAATTCGAGGTCAATTCTACTAAATTCCAGATGGCGGCCGACCTTTTCAAAAAATAACACATTTGGTTGGGGGGTTCTGTCACAAATTCGAAGTAAGATGTACAAAATTCGTTTTTAAAAAATGTAAACAATTATCTATGTTTTATTTTTTATTAACTAAACTAAATAAGCTTTTTAAATCGTTCATGTAGTGGAAAATGTTCTACGGAAAATTGTAACTGTTTGTCATCAAATCTGGAGTGCTCAGATGAATGTCAAAATGTTCCATCCGAAATTGATGATGAAATGCTTGTTTCAACTGAAAAACTTGTCGAAAATAACGAAAAACTTATTTAAAAATTAAATAAAAATAAAATAATTATCCAATAACTTTTTTATTTTTCGAGACGGCTAGGTCGGTTATTAATATTAGGTTAATTTTACGATTTAAAAAGCTTATTTAGTTTAGTTATGGTATAACTTTCAAGTCAATTTTAGCAATATATAAAACCAAAAATCGAATATTTAAATTTTACTAATTACTTGCAAAAACCTTACTCCGGCTACAAAACCAAACAAAATGATCTTTTGAACATTTGTACTGTCAACATATATCGATTAAAAAAAAATCATAATAATGTTTATTGCAAATATAATCTAATCCAAGATATTGTAAAAAGAAAATTTAAATTTAAAGTGTTATCATAATTTTCTTTAAAAGACTTTTTTTACTCGCTTTAGACCTTCAATAAAATGATATACCTATACCCAAAAAATGTATCTTAAAATAGAAAATCTGCCGATTATTATGCTTTTTTTAGAATTAAAATCTGTTCAGTAGTTTTTGAGAAAAAAATTCTGAAAGTTTGTCGATTTTTTCAGATTAAATTGTAAATATCTCGGAAACGAAGCATTTTTTGAAAAGAACGAGTGTTTATTTTGGTTCATTTTACAATAAAAAACTTTTCAATGCCATTCGGCGAGTAATTTTTTTTACACCTTTTTGTTTATAGCAATTAACTAACCACGCCGAAAAATATAAAAAAGAATGTAAATTATCAGAAAAATACAATTTATAAAATAAAAAAAGTTTCATGCTGTAGGTTTTTGTTTTAAACATTTAGTCGGTTATCTCCATTTTTAGGGGTGAACCGCTCGCCTATAATAGAAGACATCAATTCTTTCTAGCATATCTACCTATTTGATAAAAAATTCTTCATATTAAATCACCACATCAATGCCTCCACATTTATCCATTGCCAGTAGAAAAATCGAAAATTATATATTTCTTAAACTGTTACCTTCCAGCGTTTATATGCTTGGAATAGAAATAATACGAATTTGCTTTATGTTCACAATAACCGACCTGGATGACATTAGAACATGAAAAAAATAATTCTTAATTTCAGGCCGATGGAAAGTCGGCATTGGCCAAACTCTTAGTGAAATACCCTCCAGAAGTCGACGCTAGTCAGTTGCAGAAAATCCTAAAAGCCCACTGGAGGCTGTGCCTGTCGGAGAAGCCCAGCTTGGAGTTCTGCAAGAGCCTAATCATGCTGAGGGACTGCAACATCAGTGGGAGGATAAATCTTATAGACATTCCCGTCTTGATGCACATGCTACACTTCTGGAGAGTAAGTGTATAGGAGATTGTACTTTAATTAGAAAATTGTCTCCTGCGTATTTCTTTCGATACACACTGGACTCTTCTTTTCATTTCAGTTGGCGTTCCAGAAATTCGAGAGGGGCCACAGCAGCGGCAAGACGTCAAGTTATAACCTGCGCGCGCTACTTTGGGAAGCCGGTTGTACGGTCAGCAACAAAGTTTTGGAGTGCCTCGTGCTTAGGTTCGCGAAGAACAGGATTCTCACTACCGAAAACTATATCATGGCACTCGTCCGTCTGCATCTGTCACACGGTAAGTTCGAAAGTGAAACACGACGTGTAACGATCGTGTAACTATCGGGAATGCCACAGGGTTCAAACGTGGGGCCGTTTTTTTTCAAATAATAGTATTTCATAATACCGTAACATTTTTACAAATTTTTAGCAATATTTCCGAAAGTAATTGGGAAATATTGAAATTTAGTACATCTACGAATGCAGTGCAAAGCCTCATACAATCAAACGAGCAGGGAGCGACCTGTTGCTTCTCAGATATTATGAAAGCAAGTGCTGAGTTACATCTAGGTGAAACTACTTTTAATCAAATGATATTTCTGTAAACAACTACTCTGCTGACTAATGCCCTGTGCAGCATTGAATTACACTTCTAATATCCTCATGGCCTACAAATGTCTAAATGAATCATCAATCAGCAATCATTTTTCCATTAATTATGTACTCTTGTTTCATTTCAGGATCTCGATCTGTTTTCGAGAAAAATAGATTAAGTATGTTTTGATAATACAAGAAATTAAAAGTGAAACCAAAGTAAGTGTTTTTATGTTAATACAACAATTAACAATAAAACAAATGAAATACGTAATGATGTAATTTAATTGTTTGAAGAATCCACCGTTGACACTGATGCACTTTACACAATGTTTTCTGAGAGATCTTCGCATTCGAAAATATTGAGATTGCGTCTGACTTCACTGGCAGCGATTTGTATTCTTTGCCACAACTCTTCACACAAAACAATAGATTCTTTGTAAACTATATCTTTCATTCGAGACCAAAAAGAAAAATCAAGAGGATTGAAATCCGGACTCTGGGTGGCCAAGCAAAAATGCTTACATGGCCAATCCAGCGATTTGGAAAAACTGCATCTAAATATGCATGCACTGGCCGAGAAAAATGCGGTGGAGCTCCGTCATGCTTGAACTGTCTTCTTAAATAAAATAGAACTTCTTCAAGCCGTGGAAGCATTTTTACTTGGCCACCTAAAAGTCCGGAATTCAATCCTCTTGATTTTTCTCTTTGGAGAAGAATCTATTGGTTCGCATGAAGAGTTGTGGCAAAGAATACAAATCGCAGCCAACGAAGTCAGACGCAATACCAATATGTTGTTTCAAACTCGGAGATTTCTCGGAAAACGTGTAAAGTGTATCAGTGTCAACGGTGGATTCTTCGAACAATTACTTTAAACCACTATTGCGTATTTCATTTGTTTTATTGTTAATTGTTGAAATAACATGAAGAATGCACGTGGCCGGTGGATTTCGATCTGCCGAGTTAAGCATCGCGGACGCAAGCCGGAACTTGGATGGATGATCTAAAGGCAGGCTTGGGGACCTGGCTGTGGCAGCCTACCAGAGGCCTGGGTCACTCAACACTTTCCACCTGCGTATGGTCCCCTATAAAATGGTAATGAGAATAGAGCAATAAATTTCTGTAACTCAAGATCATACATAAAAACTGTATGAGACTTTGCCATCAAGCCACCCGTGTAGTAATAGAATGGTTTGATGAAAAGTACTCGAGTAAGGAAGGACTGTGTACATAGGGCCTAATAAGGCCTAATTGCCGCAGTGGAAAAATTCAATTCCACCACCCTCCGACATACAGACAGGACAGAGACATGAAGAAACACTTTGTTTCGCTTTTAATTTCTCGTATTATCGAAACATAGTTTTCTCAAAAACGGATCGAGATACCGAAATGAAACAAGAGTACATAATTAATGGAAAAATGACTGCTCTTTCAAGTTTTGAATCAAGTTTCATGTTAGACATACAGGGTAAAAAGTTATTAACAAAATTTTTGGTAAAATTGGTCGTAACTGGCGCCCTCTATGCGCAACGCTGAAATTGCAACACGCATCTTATTCGTCGTTTAAAAAAATATAGTTTCGCAAATTTTCAAGTTCCTAACCTACATATTTTCAGAATAATCCCAAAAAAGTGATTTAAAATGTTAACTTTCAACACCCTGTATTTCCAAAACTATCAACTTTCGGATAAGGCATGTTTGTGCCAATGGTCACCATTTCACATGTAGCATCTTCACCTTTCGATTTTCCCATTATTAATAAATCACCCTGTATAAACTATGCTATAAGTTACGTCAAAACAAGGGCTGACATTTGTAGGGTGTCAGGATTCAGGGGGTATTGCGATCGAAACCTTAGATCTGACAAATTAATCATTTATCATTAGTACTTATTATATTTGCAACTTTTATTACCCTATTATAGCAGTTTAAGCAATAAATTGCTTTCGAGGTTATGTCTGATGGCGCAACAGTGCTGCCCCCTGGCCGCAGACAGTTTAACTTACCCTAAAACCGTGGCAATGTAATAATATCCTATATATCTGATGATTCTAATGACTTATAAAATTTATGCTTTAAGTCTCCTTCAATCATTTCCGATTTGTCTGTACGAAGTATGAATTTAGTGTTTTGTTTCAGAACGTTACCATAATCTGGACACGAAGATGAAGAGCAACCCTTTATCGTTGGAAGAAGTGAGTTATTACGTTTGGATAATAAATTCTTCCACTTATCTGACTTATATTTCTTATTTTTCAGATGATCCTGATGACGATTTACTCGTGAGGTAGGACGAAAGTGACAAGAGCTCCAGCGCCCATTTTAAAGCCAAAGAATGTAGTTTTAATACCTTTTAGTCATGCAGTACTTATTAAATAACGTGCTAATGTATAAACCCGCTGTATATAGTCTGTATTTAATACCTTTATTTATTAATTCTGTCCACAGAAACAACGTGCAATGTATAAAACTAGTTTTATTATATCGAGTAAAGAACTAATATATTCATAACGTGAATAAAAGTGTGTAATGGAAGAAGCTTTTTATTTCATCAGTATTAATATTTGTCAAACAAAGAAAACGAGACAAAAACGAAGTTAAAATGCATCCACAGTTTGCTGCTGGCCTATTACGTGGTTTTAGATTCTTGAAATTTCACCTTAAAAACCAAGGAATTAAGACACAGTTCACATTGAGAATAGTTGAAATTTTAGTTTCAAGTGACACCAAAAGATGGCGTTGCCGCAATATTAGTTCTCTGTAACACCAGTAGATGACACTATTTCATGTCGCCACTCTATAGTTACCGCAAAACACAGACCCTGTAAACAGAAAAATAAACCTTAGTAACTCTTTTGCCAAAGGGGGGGGGTAGGGTTTATTTTTTTTTTCTAAATAAACAGTTTTACAAAACTAATAACTATAAAACTTTCTATGTTGTCATGTCATTATCTCATGAAACACTTATTAAATCTTGTCCTGGTAGTGGATCGTTTCATCATAGATCCCAACCCTTCCCCACCTTTGTGGGTACCTTACTTAAATAGACTTTCCGTAACACTTGTGTGGGTGACTTACAAGGAAAAAGTGGTGGCGCCATCTATGGGAGATTTGAACATTTATAAAAATGTACACGCGTCTCAACATATTCATCAAAATTTCCTTCTGATTGTCGAAATTTTACATTCCCTGTAACACCACAAGGTGGCACTATTTCATGTCACCACTCTATAGTTACCGTAAAACACAGACCCTGTAAACAGTAGAGCTGGGTCGCTCGTTCATTTTGGATGTGTCGGCACCCTAGATAAATGATACTATAGATAGGAAACTTGAACAGATTTCGTGGTCATTAACAGCGCTAACTGTTGACACTTTCTCCAACTTCTATTGCTTTCCTTTTCTAGGAATTGTCGGTAATACAGTGAGTTAAATTACCTGTAGCCGGTAAAAGATGCAAGCGCCATCTAGTTGTACGCTCTACAACTAATATACCTACCTACTCAATATTTGTTTTAGGTATTCTGCCGCCGCTAAATTTAAAATTACATAACAAATCTCACCCTACACAGATCACTCAGAAATTGATTTTGTAAAATAATTTTCACGTAGATAATTTTTTTTGTCACCATGAGAAAATAAGTACATTTGATAAAAAGCATTAAAATCACTCAAGCAATAAAGACACTTTTAAATGCTCTAATAGTCTTCCTACTTAAAATAAGAAATAATTTTGATACTGTAACTTTTTAAAATGTTTGTTGAAAAAATTTCAAATTTCAGTACATATTTTGAAAAAAAA